CGCAGTAAAAGTAAGAGCCAAAAGGCGCCTACTCCAGACTCCAAGAGGTTGATGAGGTGCGCTTTGCTTCTTTCTCATTCCAGTTCTTCAAAATTTATGGAGCCACTCCTTTAGCATGCGGCACTTGCACAGATAAGCGCGTGGTTCCTCGTCAACGTACTGCTTTCTCTTTGTTTACTTATTTATTATTTTGCGGTTTTTCCTTTTTCTTTTTCTTTTTTTATATTGGATTGCATAAATATAGGTAATTATTTTTTATTTTTAATTCACTTTATTTATATAATTTAAATTTACAATTTTTTGTTTTTATTAAAAAAATATTACTACTAAATTTCTTCTTTAGTTGGCTATTTTTTGATTTTTCTAAACTTGAAGATGTAAAAATTACATTTTTTAATTAATTTATATAAAAAATAAATTTATTTTAAATTTATTAATTATTCAGTTAAAATTATCTACATAACACAATTATAAAAATAATAGTTACTATTATATTTTACTATAAAAATTTATTATAATAAAATATAATTAATACACTTTAATCTATACCTTAACATATGTTAAAGAAATCCTTGCTAATATTATTTTTTTACTCCATAACGCATTTGAGTTGCAAATTGCAATTTTCCGCGGCTGCGCCGTGCATGGTCTGCTACCTGCAGTCCAAATTTAATTGAAGTCAAGCCCCAACCTGGAAGCCCAAACTAACTGGACCTTGGGTATGCACTCATCCTAGTTTCACTAGTCAAGAGTTTAAGCAGGTTAAGCTTCCAAGTTGGAAAGTATCAAATTTAAATTTTAAAATGTAGGAGAAGGCATTTTAAAATAAAAGGTTATCTTTGATCTGTTGTACAATTTATTGTTATATATTTCTTTTAAAATTGTATAATTTATTATCAAATGCCAAAAAAAAAAAAAAAGCCTTATACTAAAGCATCGTCTATATGACGCTAAAAGTTGGTAGCATCAGGGACACCCCCTAAACTTTTAAAAATGTTACTTTCGAATTCATAATTTTCATTTGCCTCACAATGTGACCGAATGCATGGTTCTGAATTTTTATGAATATGGAGTGAATATATTGTTGTTAGTTTCTTTTTCTTTTTCTTTTTTTTTGATCGATGATATATATTGTTTTTCGTAGTATTAATTTTTTATTTTTATTTTAGGCAACATGCTATCTTGCTAATTCGAGCAAGATATCACTTTTAATTTGTGATTTTACAAATTAAAAACAAATTTTTGAATATGAAGCAGATGAATCTCGGCATCGACTAGATCTCCCCGTCTTTCTTGAGATAGGAGAGAAATTTAACGGTGAATTTTCTTTGAATTGCAGGACTTATGAATAAAGAAATTGATATCCAAACGCAAAGACGCAGTTTTATGCTTTTAGTAGTATTCTTTATTTCTAATCAAAAATGCAAAATTGTTCAATGAAACTTGAGCTCTGTACATTTCCGGACCTTCATCTCTTTGTTAAAAAACTAACAATCCTTGAGATATTTTTCTTTGATTTTCTTGATCATGGCTGCAACGTCCATCACGTTTGGCCTTTCTCTGGGTGATTCTGCACAATAATTCAAAGCCAATTCCATAATGGATGTCACACAATTTATCTTGGCATTATAATGTTTCTCCTCTCTGTTAATCAAATTGGGATCTACAATTTTTGTTACTGAGTAGGACAGTGACTCTCTCACCCATAGCTTCAAGCTCATCTCCCCAGTGAACAATTCATCAGTAGGTTTTCGCCTTGTGAATGTCTCCATAAGTAAGATGCCATAACTGTAAATGTCACCTTTGGTAGAAACCATTCCCAAAGATCCATACTCTGTATCAGATTATAAACATTAAGCAAATACAGAGTGGACAAATGAAATTAATTTGATATATGTGCAAAAGCTTATTCGAGATTTTTTTAAAAAATTTTATAACAAAAAAGAAGAAAGAAAGAAAAAATAAAAATGAAGGATCACCTAGTGCCATGTAGCCGATTGTGGCAATCCTCGTGGTTTGCATCATAGATTCCCCTACTCCCATAAGCTTGGCAAGGCCAAAATCCCCTACATGTGCAACCATATCTTCATCAAGCAACACATTACTAGGCTTCAAATCATAGTGGATTATTGGAATTGGATGTCCATGGTGGAGATATTCTAGAGCAGATGCTACATCTTTCATCATATACAATCTCTGGAGAATATCCAGACAACATACATATCAGAATATAGCCACCTCTCTAAGGTTCCATTAGGCATGAACTCGAGCACCAAGGCTTTGAAATCTTCATTACAACAACGGCTAATGATTTTGATTAGATTTCGGTGGCGGATACTGCTTAGTACTTCACGTTCTGCGTCAAAACGTCTGAGTACATCCTCTACTTGTAGATTGAAGACTTTTATTGCAATGTTCATTCCATCTTGAAGTATCCCACTGTATACTAACCCAAAACTCCCTCTACCAAGAAAGTTTTCTTTTGTTGAATCCATCAGTTGCCTGTTGAAGCTCTTGGTATGAAATTCTCCTCCATCTTGTTGGTTTTGGAAAAGCATCTTCATTTCTGGATTTTTCTTCTAATTTGTGTCGTCTTGTAAAGATGATGAGGAGGGTCACTATCAATATGGAAGTTGCTATAAGTGGCAACGCAAATCTTAGCACATGGAGGACTTTTTTGCAAGATTGAGACGATTAGTTGCTTTTACATGGAGGTACTTGAAATCTTGGTAAACCACAAAGGGCAGTGTTTCCCATGAATGATTGAGCTGAGAGGTTTGTAAATGATTCTCCACTTGGGATTTCTCCTTTAAGTCTATTGAAAAATATATTGAAGAATTTGAGATATAAGAGTCTTTTCAAAGACTTAGGAATAACCCCGGAGAGAATGTTGTTAGAGAGATCTAGGAATTCCAAGCTTTCCAACCCATCAAATGATTGAGGAATGCTACCTTGTAATGCATTTTCTGCTACGGAAAGATGAGTCATATCTTTGAGGCCCCCAATGGTGCTAGGTAAATTGCTTGATAGCTTATTTCTAGACAAATCCATGATAATCAAGACCTTCAAGTTGCCAAAACCAAATGGAAGAAAGCCACTAAATGAATTTGATGATAAGTTTACTTCCAAGATATATTTAAGACTCCAGAAGGTAAAGGGTATGGTAGAACTTAAGTTGTTGGAACTTCAGTTCAGATATCTTAAAAAAGTTAAATTGGCTAAGCACTCTAGCATGGATCCAATGAGCTGATTGTAATCCAATTCCAATTGATACAATCTCTCTAAATGGCATAGATCATTAGGAATTGTTCCCTGAAGTCTATTTCTATAAAAATATAGACCTTGGAGCTATTGCAATCTTCCAATTGTTGCAAGAACTAATCTAGTCAATTCATTACCGTAAAGACTTAAAGATATCAAGTTACTCAAGTTTCCAATTTCTATGGGAATTTTTCCTTGGATTTTGCAATTATTTGCTTCAAAATATTGAAGAGATGTAGATAGATTCCCAATTGAAGCCGAGAGTACACCATTGAATGAATTAGATGATATGGATAGACATGTCAGAAATCTACTGTTTGTCAAAGAAAAGATAAAGCTTCTTTCAGGAGTCGAGAGTTCAAAGAACATGTTTCCAATCAGGTGAAGCTTTTGGAGGAATCTCATATGGTCAAAAGAATTGAGGAAGGGGCCACTAAACAAGTTATATCTGAGGTCTAGAGTGGTAAGTAAGGAAGAATTGGAGATAGAACTTGGAAAATTGCCACTGAGTTTATTTCGATACAGTTGTAGCTTAGTAATCTTTGGAAGGCCAAGTCCAACTGTTGAAGGAAGATGGCTTGAAAGGTTATTCATTGCTAAGAAAACGATTTCCAAGGTTGAGATGTTGAAGATCATGGGAGGAATGAAACCAGTCAAGAAGTTGCTTCCCATATCTAAAACCGTCAAGGGTAAGTTGCCCAACTCCTCTAGCATTTCACCTGCCAAACATCTAAACAAATTAATCGCAAGCTTTTCAACTTGTATTCAATTTTAACGCGAAGATAGAATTATTAATAAAGATAAGAGATTAAGAAATAATTCTTGGAAAAGAGTTGCATTGTATTGGTGCATATCATTTGGAATGGTTCTAGTGAGTTTATTGAATCTTACCTTCTAAGTCATTGTTACCAAGATATATTTCAGTAAGTCCGATCAAGTTCCCAATGCTTCTTGGGATGTATCCAATGAATCTATTAATTGCTAGAGACAAAATTTGAAGGTTCTTGCACCTGCTTGTACTTTAAGGAATTGAGCCATTTAATTGATTCTTATTCAAATAAAGTAGCTCAAGATTTGGCAGATAGTAGCATAAGTCAATAGGAAGGGTGCCTGAAAGGTTATTTGTGTAGAGATAAATCCATCTTAAGGAAGAGATGTTGAAGATTTTTGGTGGAATGGAACTTGAGAGGGTTGCATTTCCAGCTGCAAATTTCTCCAAATTGTGAAGATTACTTATCTCCTGTGGTATTTCCCCTGCAAAAGAATTGAGATTTTATGGTTTAATTGAGAAATGATATAACTTTCAACATATACTACCAAAAAAAGAAAAAGATAGATTAAAAAATATGAAATTGTACCTCTTATTTTGGTATCTCCAATATATATTGTCCTTAGCTTAGTTAAGTTGCCAATGTTTTTTTGATATACTTCCCGTAAGCTGGTTGTTTCCTACTTTAAAAATCTCCAACTTTAAAAGCAACCAAATCTCACTTGGGATGTTCCATCAGGAGAATTGAAGCTCAAATCCATGAACCTCAAACACCGCAACTTCCCTAACTCAGGAGGCAAATGGCCATTGAAGCTGTTTCTACTCAAGTTGAGAGATACAAGAAAAGAAAGGTTTCCCAGATGGGAAGGGAGGCTGCCAGTGAGGTTTATGTTTGAAAGATCCAAGGATGTGACTCTACGATAAAGATCACCGCAGGAAACTCCAAACCAATTATAGACTGGGGTGGCAGAAGACCAGTTGGAGAATAAGATATTAAGAGGATCAGAAGTAATGTGAGTTTTGAATTCAAGAAGGGCAGATTGGTCTGTGGTGAAGTTTGGTTGAGACATGGCTAGAGCAGTTATGAAACTTTGCGATAACAACATTGGAAGGAAGATAAAGCCCATGATCATGTTCTCCATGGATGCTGAAAAATACCTACAACTCAAAATCAAAGAGATGACATTATAACAAACTGTTTCCATGTTTAATAAATATGAAAAATATTTAAACTAGAAAAAAATTATAATTAATTGTAAACCAAAAATTTATGCTTACTAATTTGATTTTTAATTAAACATTCGTCGTTAAAATGTTTTGTATAAAAAGAATAGTTTGATAGATTTCTTTAAATTGAATGGTTATTCTCAACCTAATTGCCTCGAATAGTTATCAAATTACTAAAAAAAGAAGGAAATGAAATAGAATAAAGCAATTGTAAAGACAAATGAGAAAAGCCAGAAAATCTAACCTCTGCATAAGTAGATTTTGGCACTAATTAGCGTCACCCAACAACAGGACACAGTCGTGTTGAACTTATGTTGGTATTGAGAGAGAACTCAAAACTATGCTACAAAAACAGAGGATGGAGAAGTATATATAGTGGTTAAATAAGAAGAAGTGGAAATGAGTGAAGGCAGGGGCAAAGAATTTGAGTAAGTCAATTTGGGTCATTTTCACGTCACTTGCAAAGGCTTTTGAAAGGGACAGAAGAATTCCGTTGTTGCGACCGGCTTCTTGATCAAAGTCTATTCTTAAACCACCATCACCTCCGACCATCGCGGACCGACTTTAGTTATTTTACTTTAATTTTTTTTTTTTTCGAATACAAGTTTTAAATGAAATTTAACTAAATGGAACTGCTCAAAAAACTTCAATTGTGATTCATATATATTGAATTTTATATGAAATTCATGTACAAAACGTCAAAAAATTAAAATAAGACAAATAAAGTTAATGGAGGGAATAATTTGTAATTCCATCTAATTTACTTGCAGCCTTGCAGCTCACCGACTTTACAATCTCAGATAACCCTTTTGAACCACCATCCATAGCAAGACACATATATTACAATATATAATCATCCCCTTGCACAAGACAAATTAAGGTGTTGCATCACCACGTTCTAGCTACTAAATACAGCGACATGGATTGACTGCATGGAAAATTAAAGAGAGTAATTTGCGTGAATTTCTCAAAAAGGTGTAGGAATCGGATTATAGTTTTTCTTGTTTTGCGCTGTAATATCAGCATTAAAGTGTACATATAATCGGCATATAATTGTTATAAACAAACTATTATTAATAACTTAAATTTAAATTTTTAAGGGCATGTGAATTTTAACTTAAATAATTGCTAAGTTAGTAACAAGTTTTAATTTTATTATTTGTTAATAAAAATCATTAAGTTTTAACTTATATTTCTATACTTTATCAATGTGATATTTGTTTTTGAGATGTGATAGTATGATAAAAACTTATTTTTAGCCCCTCACCTTATCAAGTTTGAAGGATTAGTTCCTCACCTTATACTATCACACTTTTAGCCCCTCACTTTATCAAGTTTGAAGGATTAGTTCCTTACCTTATACTATCACACTTTTAACCACTCATTTTACTAGATTTGTAGGTTTTAACTCTTTACCTATTAAAATTGAAAAAAATAACTTTCATTTTATACTTATTGTTAACTCTGTTAGCTGAAAATAGATTTTTATCAATTAACAGTTAACTAATAACCAATTAACAGAATTAACGAAATATTATAAAGTTAATTCTATTAACTTTGTTAGTTACAAGAAGGTTTTTGACAACTAATAGTTAGTTAATAGAGTTAACAGTCAACTAACAGAACTAATAAAATGTTATAAAGTGATGGCTATTTTCTTTAATTTTAATAAGTGATAGGTTAAAACTTACAAATCTAATCAAATAAAGAGTTAAAAATGTCATAATATAAAATGAAGGGTTAAAACCTTCAAACTTAAAAAAGTGAAGAACTAAAAGTAGACTTTTGCTGTGATAGTATTGCCTAGTGATATAATTACATACTGTTTCTAAGTATTGTGGCAAAAGTGACTTCCGAAAATGTACCATTTCCTCAAATAGCTTCGTGGTTCTACCCAAATCTCCACATTGCAAACATTATCCCATTTTTTAACCGTAGACATTTTAATCATTAAATTCCAAGTAGTATTCTCCACTGCATTTAGTATAATTTCCAATGAATCATCAAGTTATAAGCCTTAATTTCCACGTAACCAATGATCAGGTATTTTTTTAATAAGATGATATATTGTACAATATGTGATAGTCATATTTTTTTAAAATTTTTCTTCATTCATCTCAAAATTTAAAATTTAAAATCTTAAATTGTTAACTACATGAAATAACTTTTTAATTAAAGGCCCAATAATCGACTTAATATATGGGTAATTATAGACGGAAAGTTCGAAACCACTTAAATAATTGAGTTAAATAATTGAGAAGTGAAAGGGTTGTTGGATTCTTCTAACTACTATTAGTCAAGGAGTAAAGACCAGTCTGAATATTACCAAAGTTGTTTATTCATTGCACCTGTTAATGACCTCTTTAGAAAAAGTGTTAATTTGATCCCCATTACGCGGTGCTTTAGACTTCATGGGGAAATCGTTGCTATCTATATTCTATAGTCAAGTTGTTTCTATTTGTATGAGTAACTATAGATTGAAACAACTTAAATAATTGAGGTGTGAAAGAAACATGAGATTTTTTTTTCTTAAAACTATAATTAATTAAGGAGTAAGGACTACTCTATTAAGATCATTTCCAAAGTTGTTTTTACATTATGTCTCGTTATTTTTTAAGATAAAGTATTAATCAGATTGAAATTCTATGATGTTTTAAACCAAAGAAATTGTTTTTATCTTTTATAATAATTTATGCAAAAATATATATATTATAATATAATTAATT